AATATATGAGAGTCTATTTAATTATTAAAAGAAAGAGCTTTTACAATTTTTTTCTCTTTGTCATTCTTGAAATAATTGAAAATTATTTTCGAATCTTTTCTATCAAATATTGTGATCATAGAACATAAAATAAATGTTTCAGTATGAACAACGTTATATTTATAATTAATAATCAACGAATGAATATTTAATAAAAAAATTAAATTTATAAATTTAGGAGTCTACAAAATTGCAAAATTAAAAATTTGAGGATCAAAAATCAGATATTATAAAAAATTAAAAGTATAATTTAGTCAATATTATCAAAAGATACATTCATAGTTATCTATCAATTTAAGAGATTCATTTATGTTGAAAGTTGAGGCTTATTAAGAATATTTAACCAAGATATTTGAGGAGTTTATAAGCTTTTTTAACTATCTTATAAGTTAGTTTGAATCAATAATAAACTTGTTTGATGGAAAAACTTTTAAGAGCTTATAACGTACTTCTACAAGCTAATCAAAATAATTTATAATGCATGTTTTTAGATTTTTTCTATTTTTCTTTTTATCCTCATTAATTTATTACTAGATTTTTTTTAATCTTTTTTAGTTTTAAAAGCATTTTTTATACATGTTATGCTCTCACTTCCGTTATCAAATAAGTAAATATGTAATTTCACATTAATAAAATAGCTTATTAATTAACTTTACATAACACTTTCAATAATTTGATCAGTTAATAACTAATAGGTTTCTAGCTATTCATCTCCTATCCTAACTTAGAATTTGTAAGTTGTTATTTACATGCTAGCTTTCAGCCAATTTATAAATTAATCTTATATATATCAAACATATGCTAAAACTCAACTCATTCATTTTTTATTAGGATAAGAGTGCATATTTTAAATTAAAAACAAGGAAAGATAAAGTGAGAACACTTTTTATCTTTAACGTATTGAGAATTATAAATCTAACATATAAAACTAAATATGAAAGATCAAGATCAAAAGATTAATGTAGCAGTTTTAATTTTCACTAATGATGTATGGTTATTTGACTCAAATAGTTTATTTCTGTATTGTTATTTAATTTTCTTAGAATGTGAATTATTAATCTAATTTATTTTTACAAAATTAATTTATAAGGTGAGAGTTGTATCCCACTTATATATTATTTAATTATCTTAATTATAAGATGAGAATTATCTCCCACTTATATATTATTTAATTATTTTATCTTTAGTTAACGTGAGATTTGAATTTTTATTATTAGATTTGATATGTGAATAAATGGTGGACAACTTTTTTTAATGATTTAAAATAGGCAAAACTTAAAGTTTTTCTTAATACACCTCTCATGCCCAACACCATTGTTTGGTGTGTATCAATAATGAGTGACTCATTTAGAGTGGATCTATATAACTATAACACCATCTTAGAATGTGGATTACGTGTCAAACTCAACCTTACAAAATTCTTTATAAGGTGAAAGTTGTCTTCCATTTATATATTCTTTAATTATTTTATTTTTAGCTAGTTGATATTAGACTTAATTTTTTTAATAAATTTTAAAAAAATTTAATATAATATAAAATTATATAATTTAACAGCTGGGTAATCAAAATATACCTCTAATTAAGTATTCGAGCCTTGAGATAAGAAAGTTAGATGCCTTTTAATTTAATAGAGCAATCTCATTGGTTGTCTGTTGACACGAGACAGAAAGAAAAAAAATCTAGTCAATTTCATTTTTTATATATATTTTGTGAAAATATCTCACGTGTGCTACTAACTAATATCACTCGTGTACAAAAACTAAAATTTACTGACTAATATTACTCGTTTGCTACTAACTTATCATTATTTAGCATTTATTTTTATATTTTGAATTTATAAAATTATTATTAGTTTAAAACCTTTTCTTTATATATGATATGACTTCTTTATTTTAAGTTAAGGTTTTAAATTCTCAAATATCAACTTATGTTAACATTTATTTTTATCTCAAATATTGGTTGCTTATACTTTAAAACTATTTTTTTATTTTATTAATTTTCTGCTAAATCTAAGTCATAAGCGAACCCATTTGAAGGCCGATAAATGCATCCTTCACTTAATTAGAAGAAAAAAAAGTAAATGATATACATATAATTAACATCTTTCTCTCCATCTTTACAATTTTTTATCATTATTTTATTGAAATGAAGTACCTATCAATAAATCATTTTAATGGGGTTTTCTCATCTATTTATTTTATATATATATATAT